CCTGCTCCACACCTGCTCCTGCCCCACACCTGCTCCTGCTCCACACCTGCTCCTGCCCCACACCTGCTCCGGCTCCACACCTGCTCCTGCTCCACCCCTGCTCCTGCTCCTGCTCCACACCTGCTCCTGCCCCACACCTGCTCCTGCCCCACACCTGCTCCTGCACAGATCCAAGCAGCTGCTGTTCAACAGATAAAAATTGAATAAATGACTCGTTTACTTTTGTTGAGAGTTCAGAGCGAAGGCGTCCTGTTTTTCTCGGGAGATTCCAAATCTCTCCGCAACGTTCTCTGACGTGATGCTGCAAAAAACATGAAACGCACAAGAGTCACAGCAGGAAGAGAAGACGACCGTCCGCTAACTCGAGAACATGAAGGAACACTGAGCGCCCTCAGAACTGCGTTTTATACTGATCATTAAAAATATGACTAATCATTATCTCTTAAATTCTCTCCTTAATATTTTCATGGTTTTGTAAAAGTGTTCTGTTCATAATAATAAATGTCCTGAATTTGTTGTCTTCGTTCATGAGACCTGATGCAGCAGCCGTCTCACCCCATCGGCATGATGCAGTCTCTGGCCTTGTCGTTGTCCATCAGCCTGGAGCTCAGATCTCCAGGGTTCCCCATCGTACGCAGAGACATGCTCTCCACACTGGAACACGCAAAACATGTCACATGTCACATCTGCTTCCAGACACACGAACAGTTTGCCTTCATTTAATTCAGAGGATCTACAGGCCTGTTATTGGGGAGGTTCTCAGGATTGTTCAAGCTGCTTGAGTGGTCAATGGGAGGTTGTAGAGGTGTGATAGTTTGTACCAGGGGCATTAAGAAGGTTGAAGTGGTTACTGAAAGGGTTCTACGGTTGGTTTTAATGGTCAGGAAGGTTGTGAGGTCCTTGATGAGGTTCTGTTGGCTTTCGAGGAGGTTCTCAGGATTGTTGAGGGTACGTTAGTGGTCGATGGGAAGGTTCTAGAGGTCCTGTCCATTTGTTCGGGTTCAACAAAGGTTTAAATTGACATTAAGAAGGTTCTAGAGGTCCTGTAGGAGGTTATGGAGAACCTTAAAAAGGGGAATGCTTTCTTAAAGAATGTTTTTATTATCGTGGAGGAACTTCAGATCTTCTGTCGACATGTCTCTGGGTTTTTATTACGTTATGAAGAAGAGAATTGAATTTTTCTGATTAGGAACAACAAATGAAACGTACCCGCAGGCGAGGCCCAGGTCAATGGATCCACTTCTGATGGCTCCTGCACAAACACACCAGAGCATTCTGGGTAAATAAACAGCAGCTGTGTTCTCTTCGGTCGGTTTGAAGTGTTTTTTACCTGCTACATTAAAAAGAGCCTGAAGTCCAGAGGAGCACTGTCTGTTAACAGTGTAGACGGGAACTGTCTCTGGAAACCCACTGAGAGGACGACAAGAAACTTCATCCAGTGAAAACAGTAGAAACACACAGTATGAACAAATATA